GAGCGTTCAACTCCATGACCAAAGATCCCGGGTTCGAATCTCAAGTGATCCACACTTGGGGTTGGGTATGACTGGCTGATGACGGCTAATAAGCCAGAAATGGCCATTCCGGTCTCCCTTGTCTTTGTCGGTATTACCTTTCAAATATATACATATATATATATGAGAAATATAGGCGATCTCGCGATCCATTGTTTTTCTGTCCTTACGTTTCAAAAGCATACAAGCTTCCATCGTCCGATGTGAGTCTGTTATCTCGCCTCACATTATTTATAGGTGGGTGAAAATTTTATCGAAACGGGTTTTCTTACATATGAAGTCATTGGTGCAGGGGGGAAGGGGCGGAGGTAGTCCTAGGGCGTCTTTTCTCCGGATGCGTTGTTGGTGGATCAGCGTTTGTGGTCATCAGCCGCATGCACACATGATCTGTGGCGGCCGGGTGGGGAGCGATTGAGGGTGACGGAATGTACTCAATCTACTTCGGAGGCCGGCGTTGAGACGCCGGCGGTCGTCGTTCGTACCTGCATTTTGCGTAGCTGTCGTTTAAGCCTGGCAATCTTGTTTACGCCGCAACGACTGTCTGTTTTCTCGTCCGCCGGACTAGTAGATGGACCGGCTGTGATGAGGACTGCGCCTTCGTCGGAACCCGGTTGAGGGGTGACTAAGTGTGTATCCGCCATGGACTCGCTCATGTCAGGATTAATGTTTAGCCTGGGTGAACGTCTGCTCATTTGTTTACTGAGCTGCGTTCGAAGGGCTTGATAGGCAGCGGGAAGCGCCACGCAGCGGTTGATGGAGGTTGTCCCCGTGTGCCAAGCCTCGATTGTTTCCCTGGCTATGCGATCGTTCCCCCTGCCCAGAATTTCGGCATACTGAAAGGCGAACGTGTGTCCGGCATCGGCGCAGTGTTCGGTCGCCAGAGACAAAGGGTCCATTCGCCTTACTGCCCTCATGTGTTCTCCAACACGAGTCTGTAGTCGTTTTCCGGTCTCCCCAATGTAGTTGACTTCGCGGGAGTTACACCGGATCCGGTAGATGACGTTCGTGGTTTCACCTAGTGGCAGAGGGGCCACCAGATGTCGAATTGTTGACTTCGGTCGGTGGGCGATGCCGATCCCCAACGGTCTTAAGAGACGCGAGACGGCCTCAGAAACGCCGTCGATGTATGGAAGCGCCCGCCATATTGTTGGTTGTTCTGTCACCAAACGTCGGCTCGGTCCGGCCTGTCTGCCGCGTTCGATGAAGTTGCGAGGATACCCGTTGGCCATGAAGAGGCGCTGGAGGTAGCGTAGTTCTGACCTTCTGTCGTCCGGCTCGCTGCAGTGTGTTTCCGCCCTTCTGTAGAGTGTTCGCACACAACTGCGTTTGTGGCCTAACGGGTGCTTACTGTGGAAGCTCAGGATTTGGCGCGTATTAGTGGCCTTCCTATATACCGTCGTTTTAAGGTGCCCATTGGGTTTTCGATGGACGAGAACGTCCAGGAACGGGAGTTGATTGTGGGCTTCCGCCTCCATTGTGAACTGGATTTCAGGGAAAACAGAATTCAGGACATCATGGAATTCCTTGACCATTTGCCGCTTAATGATAACGAAGGTATCATCGACATATCGAGCCCAAAATGTCGGCTTATAGGTTGAGAAAACGAGGGTCTCTACTTTTTGGAGAACTGCCTCTGCGATGAAGCCCGAGAGCGGCGATCCCATTGGCGTCCCCTTGACCTGCTCGTAGGTCGTGCCTTCAAAGGTAAAGTACGTCTTCAGGCAGAATCTCAGCAATTGGACGAGATGTCTCCTTTTTACCGTCACGTCCGTCTCGTCGTACTGACTCTCGAGCAGCTCGCTGACCGTTTCGATTGCCAGGTCTTGCGGGATCGAGGTGAAAAGAGAGGTGACGTCGAATGACACCATGACCTCGTCTTTGGTAAGTCTCATCCCTTTGATCCGCTCCAGGAACTGAGTCGCTGAACATACCATCGTACCCGCGTCCGAGGTGAGAGACCTCAGGTTTCGGAACAGCCATTTGGCTAAATTGAATGTAGGTGCGCCGCGCAATGATACGATTGGCCGGAGGGGGACCCCGGCTTTGTTTACCTTTGGTAGTACGTAGAACCTTGGCGCGGCTGCGTCTACTGGCTTAATGGCCAGTCGTACCGATTTACTTATTGCCTTGCTCGTTTGCATGTCGGCGAGTGTCTTGTCCAGTTGCGTCACCAGCCTCCTCGTCGGTTCACCGTTACATGGTAGGTACGCCTGTCGGTCCTCCAGTAGGGCATTAGTCTTCTGAATGTAGTCTGCTTTATCCATCACAACTGTGGAACGCCCTTTGTCGGCTGGTAGAATCACGATGCTGGTGTCAGCCCTCAGTGTCTTGAGAGCGCTCTGCTCGGCCTTGGTAATAGTTGCACGCGGTTTGTGTGACATCGCCAAGGAGGCTACCTGCTGTCGAATGAGTTGCTTTGTTTCATCGGATTCCCCGGTTTGTTTGAGAATCGACTCTACCGTGGCCACGAGATTGACTGGATCGGCGTCTGTGGTGTTGAAGCAAGCCTCATGACTCAGCAATTACATTTATGCAGGAGTCAGCTGCTTAGAGGACATATTGTGCACCAGGACTTCGTTCTCCTCTTGAGATGATTTGCTTATGCTTTGGAGCTTGACCGCCAGCTCAGAATCTCTCGTTGCTCGCAGGTTCCGGGCCCGTTTATTAATCACTTGTTGCAACTGCGCGACTCCGTCATCACCGATGAGTTCGACGCACTTTGTTACCGCCTGGCTCAAAACCCTGTTGTATTTACGCAGTCGAAGATGGCAATCTTGGAGAAGCGCGCGGCTGCTGGTTGGGCACGAGAGAGAGAGCCCTTAAGGCACAACGGAACGAATGAGTTACGTATGGACGATCGGTAAGCGCCCCCTAACATTTTATATTCCCGATCGAAAAGAAACCGACAGGGCAACGGGCTCGTGGCCCGCTGAGTAGAGGCATTGACTTCTAAACCTACAGGTCGCGAGTTAGAGGCTCGGGTGTTGTACAACTCGGGCTTGAGTATGGCTGGCTGACGACGGCTAATAAGCCAGAAATGGCCATTCCAGTCTCCCTTGTCCTTGTCGGTAATATCATTCTGCCTATATATCGTGCGCCGCTGCGCGGATGCTGGTTGGGCTCGAGAGAGAGCCCTAAAGGCACGACGGAACGAGTGAGTTCCGTATGAACCATCGGTGGACGCCCCCTAACATTATATATATATGCTGGAAAACGGGCATCCCAATAAATTTAATTGAAAATAAGTAAGATTCTTTGGGAAGGGAATAAACTTTAATGAGTAAATTTTCGAGTCTGGTTCCCCAGCTCGTCGTCAGACTTTTGGGCATATATATATTGAGAAGATGATACCGACAAAGACAAGGGAGACCGGAATGGCCATTTCTGGCTTATTAGCCGTCAACAGCCAGTCATACCCAACCCCAAGTGTAGATCACTTGAGATTCGAACCCGGGTATGACTGGCTGATGACGGCTAATAAGCCAGAAATGGCCATTCCGGTCTCCCTTGCCTTTGTCGGTATCATCTTCTCAACATATATCACTAGTAGCTGTGCGACTGCCAGCGAGGGTTTAAGTATGAGCCCCAAGGCACAACGGAACGAGCATGTTCCGTAACCTGATCGGTGAGCGCCCACTATCATAATATATGTATATATATATATATATATATATATATATATATATATATCAATCAGGAATGGGCGCACACCGATCTATTGGCTTCACAAAGCAAACAAGCTACGTATGTGTGGCAAAGGTCACGAACAGGCAACCAATTACCAGGCCGAAGTCGGCCAAGTCATAATAGCAGCGAGGAGGGACGACAGAGAATGCGGGTAGATTGATACAGCACTGTTTCGGGCTTATTCTGCCTTCATTCAGCCAATCATAACCCTGACCACCAGCAGCTCCGACCAGAATCACAAACATACGGAGCTTGTTTGCTTTGTGAAGCCAATAGATCGGTGTGCGCCCATTCCTGATTGATAAATACCCGATCTGCAGCGACAGAGAATGACAGGTGGCGAGGCACTGATGAACTTCGGTTCGATGAAGTGCTTATGACCCATCTGGTAGGCCTCAGTGGTGGGCCGACTGCGCCAGGTGCGTCTGTGCGCATGTTTGTGTTTCTGGTCGGAGCTGCTGGTGGTTAGGGTTATGATTGGCTGAATGAAGGCAGAATTAGCCCGAAACAGTGCTGTATCAATCTACCCGCATTCTCTGTCGTCCCTCCTCGCTGCTATAGACAAAGACAAGGGAGACCGGAATGGCCCTTTCTGGCTTATTAGCCGTCATCAGCCAGTCATACCCAACCCCAAGTGTGGATCACCTGAGATTCGAACCCGGGATCTTTGGTCATGGAGTTTGACGCTCTACCATTGAGCCACGGGCCCGTTGTCCTGTCGGTTGTGATCGGGAATATTAATTATGATAGTGGGCGCTCGCCGATCAGGTTACGGAACATGCTCGTTCCGTTGTGCCTTAGAACGTCAAGCAAATCTCTGTGGGGTAATACAAACTACGCTCATGCAAGTTTGTAGCGGCTAAGCGGTTATGTTGTCTGGTCAGTGTGCCACAACTTTAAGCCATATCCCATGTTGTAAGAAGTGGGACGCCATTTGGAGTTGCTTTATTTATTCTGTACAGAATAGTAAAGAGACATTGGCAAGCGGATAAGGATGCGTTTGGCGTCGCCGAAGCGGCATCCGTGAAAGCGACGAGCCGTGTGTCGAAGGTCGCCGCTGCAAAAGTGTCGTGACTGTTTGTTTACGCATTGGTCTGGTTTGCGTCCGCCTTGTGAAACCAATCATCGAGGGGAGTAACGTTGATTTTCTCAAGCCCAGGCGAGTTTAAGGACAAGCCTCGCGTGGAGCAGGCAGAGAATCGTTCAGATTCGCGGCGCAGACAGTTAATTGCATCGAGATAAATCGAAGCGGAGCAGGCGTGTGTGCGTGCCAAATCAGGCTGTCGCTAGGGCGTAGGTGCAGGCGCTAGGGAGAGATGCGACGTCATTATGGCTGTCCATAAGTTTATTACTGAGTTTTGTAATACGAAAAGCCAAAAGCTTTGGAAACTGAATTTCATAGGATGAATTCTGCACTTTTTTCTCGAAAACATTGTGATTTCTCATACCCGCTCTCGCTTTATTTCCATGAAGGCAAAATCAAATTTTCTGTTTCCGGAAAGGATTTATTTTGTCTTTTTCCAGTTCAAATGAATCCTCCTTTACGAGGCGGTGCAAAAACTTGAAGTTTTGATCCGTGAATTTTAGTAGCGTAGGAAATAACCTGCATATCATGAGAGGTCAGATTTTGTCCAAATCTGGTCTGTTTTCCTTTGGAAAAACCGAATTGAAATGAATGTCTTGCTAGTATTCTTTGAATTTTCTCGATTCAGTGCTGGTTTATTCACCGGACTAGACGCACCCGAGGTCAAAGCTATGTCAAAATTCTCTGAGGATAACTCAGTTCTTCTTTGTGATACTATAGCATTAGACAGTAAGATTGGCGGTGCACGATAGTTAATAAGGCGGGGAATAGATTGAAAAGTGGACCTACATTCAAGGTGATTAGACGAGCAGTCAGCGAATGACACCAACGTAGGGTGGTCGGTTTAAAAGCAAGCGGCGACAGAGAGCAATAGACATTGAAAAAGAACAATGAACGAAGAATGATGAGAACCGACGAATAGGGGTACAGAAACAAAGCAGGGTGGTATGAGTAAAGTCTGGTTACTTACAAACGGCTAGTAGCAAAAAAGGACAAGGATAGAAGAGAGAGAGAGAGAGAGGAATGCTTTATTTTGAAAATAACCTTCAAAACTTTCAGCAAAAACGGTTCTCCAGTACACAGTGATTACCATAGAGATTAACAGGTATTGGGCAGGTGGACTATAATTATATATGAAGAAAAAAGAACTTTAAGGTGCAAGATCGAGTTTTAGTTTTTGTTTTTCAACATCTTTACAGGTGAGATACCGGGCCAGAAATGGCAGTATGGAATTCCGATAGGCCGAAGTGCGGCAATGGATTTGGCGGAAGCATCGATGCATGGGGCGTAAGGATTTCGCAGCCATTAACTCATTATGAAGGGGATGGACGGTGTCATGCAGAATTCGGTCAGCGAATTGCTCCACTGAGTTGAAGTGTCGCTGCACGATGATATCAACTAAAATATGATAGGAAACACCAGCAGCAGAGGCGAGCATTCGAATGACACGTTTAAAAATAATTAGATCTTTTATAAGTTAAGCTGGAAATATAACTGGAGAACAATAAAGAATGAGTGGAAGAATACAGCCATCTATGAATCGCCAGATTAAGGACTGGGGTGTGTGATATGTACGTAGACGACGAATGTAATAAACAAGTTTTTGAATTTTTGTTAAAAGGGTTTCCATATGAAGAGAGAAAGAGAGATTTGAGGATAAAGTAACACCTAGGTACCGGAAAGAAGATACCTCATTGGGAAGAATATCCAAAGGTTCAGGAATGGGAGAGGGGCGCAATCGAAACACACACTGTACTGATTTCTGATTGTTGAGTAGGAGTCCATTATTCGAAGACCATGCGGAGACGTGATCTAAGCCATCCTTTAAAGACTGTAGGTGAGTCAGGTTTTTGAGTGGGTGGCCTACGACCATGTCGTCGGCATACTTAACATACAGGCAATCGTTTGGCGATCTCAAATCATCAGTATGTAGGGAGAAAAGATGAGGGGATAAGATGGAACCTTGCAGAACTCCACAATTATTTGGAAGAATAGAAGATTTTCTCTTTCCCGACTGGACAAACTGTGTGCGGGAGGAAAAATAATCTCTAAGCCAAGAGACAACCCATCTCGGAGTGTCGCACGCAGCTGCTTTGGTCAGGAGGAGTTGGCGCGGAATAGTGTTGAAGGCGGATGAGTAGTCGAGAAAAGCACATGCATATGCACGGCATCCCTTGTCTAAGTCTCTCAAAGCTGAATGAACAACTAAAGCAACAGCATCCAAGGTGCTACGCCTTGCCTTGTATGCAAATTGTAGAGGATCAGAAAAATTGACGCAGAAGTACTTAAGGAAATCTAATGCAACTCGTTCAGTAAGTTTCAGGAGCGCAGAAGAGCAGGCAGTAGGACGGAAAGATTTAGGAGCAAAAGTTAAAGATTTTTTAGGGATTGGAGTAATTCTTACTGTACGCCAGACGTCAGGAATCTTGGACTCTATGAAGGATAGATTAATAAGGTGGGTCAAGACGGGAGCTATCTGCAAACAGCAAGACTTAAGGAGAAAAGGAGAGACAGCGTCCGGCCCAGCCACCTTTGACCCGCGAATCTTTTTGAGATGGTGTTCCACTGTTGTCACAGTCACAGGAGTAAAGTCACATGGTGGTAGGTAAATTTCGTTTGGGCGAGAAGGGGAGTCGTTAGAAAAACAGATAAAATTACGATTTAAAGAGTTCAAATCTACGTCAATGGGTTCAGGTATATTACGTTGACCAGTGAGACGCTTGAGATTCCTCCACCGTTCAGCAGAAGGAAAAGGAGAGGAGGGGGTGGATGAAGTAGAAAAAAGTTGACTAACGAATAAACCGTTAAGTCTGGCAATGTCGTTCTTTATTAAAACATTGATATCCTTCACCTTGTCACGCTGACCTAGTTTGTAGAAGGCTTCTTTGCGACGTCTCCAGTGTTTGAGGTATGATGAGGAGATTCTGTCAGGCCTGACCATAACAGTTTCACGGGGACAACAAATATCAAAAATGTGATTCAGAAATAGCGTAAGATAATTAGAGCATAATTCAGCATTTTGTAGTGCCAGAAAAGTTGGGATGGTACTAGTAATTGAACTCTGCAGTAAGTGGATCTTATCTACGGATGTGTCTCGAACAGTAATTTTCCTCTCGGGTTTTGTAAGCAGTTGACGCTTAGAGGTAGAATAGACTTTTGGAAGTCCTAGTAGCACTGAGTGATCAGACCCGGAGAGCGGAGCTCTATTTTTAATACAAAAAAGCTTTGGGTAATTGGTCAAGATGTGATCAAGAGGGGCATCAGCCCGTGTATTGAATGTAACAAGGTCATCAAAACCCAGAAGGGTAATGGACCGGAAACTCACACGGTTAAAATCACCGCACAAAAGAATAAGATGGTCTGAGGATAATGAAGCAAGTTTTTGTGTGAGGAAGTCAAAAAACGGCCCAGAGAGCCTTCGTTTGTGGAAGGGGGGGTGTAAATACTGACAAATATAATACGCTTAAAGCCATTTAACAAATGGGGCTTACAGATAACAGCAATTACGTCAATTAAATCACCAGAATATGAAAACAGGGGCTTACAATTTATACACCAGTCTTGATTGACAAAAATGGCCACTCCTCCACCTCTACTGCCTGTTGGAGATGCTCTATCATTTCGAAAACAACAAAATGTCGAAGGAGTGATTAATTCCGAGTCAATATGGCTATTCAACCACGTCTCCTGAAGGCAAATTACTCCTGTTTTGCCATGTTCTTTGGTTGACAGAAGTAATTCCAAATCATGGGCTTTGTTAAATATCGATCGACAGTTAGTCGAAAGAAAACCCGGGATTGACAACTTGTTTTTAGGCTGGCGTTTAAGCGCAACTTGCCATCCACAGCGATGTTGCTTTCGAAATATTGGCCTTTGCTGATACGAGCGTGGGAAGGCCAGCGAGGAAGGACGAGAAACAGGACAAGTTGTCAGAGTGTAACTGCTGCTGGCACGGTGAGTTCGTTGCGTTTGGGAGCGTGAGAACGCCGACGCAGGACAATCGCAGAAACGACAAATTGGCCGCAAAGTGCAACTACTAGAGTCATGATCAGGAGGCGGAAAAATCGACGCAGAAATTTCGCAGGGTTTAAGCTCCTTTAAAAAGGTGCTAGCGTACTGTAAAGACAACCTCATAGGAATAGATCAATTAAAACAAAGGAATAAGACTGGGGTATGCAATTAATAAGTATTCATGTGACTGGAGGGAAAAAACAAAAAAAACAAACAAAGAAATTGGCATCAGCGATGAAACCCCCGCGGATTCGCGGTCTCCGATGGCCTGAATGCGTCACGGAGATTCCATTTTATCCGCTTTTCCTTCCAGTGGACAAACTTGGTGGAAGTCCCTCCGTACATGAGCTTTTGCTGCGCGAGCGGTGACTCCGCGAATCAAGTTGTCCGATCCTGCGTGCACTTCGTGCCTTAGGCCAGACACCTCGGGGTTTGTCTGCCTCCATTAGCAGGACATGTTGACCAATCCTGGGACGCGGTTGCGCAGATTGCCACTTCCGACAAAATGCGAGTGTTGGTAGGTAGGCTCTTAACCATTTCTTCCGAAAGGCGTCCACTAGGAGTTGTACCTGTCGCCATCTTCTATTAAATTGATTCTTTGGAATCGTACTTGATATTGGCTCGAACGAATTATTTCTTAGTAGCGGCAACTTACTCAGTGTAAGTACATACTGATCATGCGAGTCGTCAGTCTATCTTACTAACAGCCTGTCGTTTAGAATTCGTTCAATTTCAGTTATGGCCGTAGGTGGAACTTCATCAGTGAGGCGTTGTTCTTCTAGCACCACGAGGATAATTTGTATGATTGTGCATATCGCTCTTTCTCATACACCCCCTCTATGGCTGGCTCTAGAGGATTGAATACCCGGTCGCACTCACGGATCAGCAGCGATTTCGCTGCGTTGTCCTAGTTCCACACTTAAACTAGTTTCTTTACGTCGCCTTCCGCACCCCTAAAATTGCTTCCGTTTTCACTGTAAAGTCGCTGTGGACAACCTCTACGTGCTTCAAATCGATGGAAAGCACACAAGTACGAATCAGTGTCTAGAGAGTGCTCTACTTCCAGATGCCCATCTCGAGGATTGAGGCAGGTGAACAGACAACCATATCGCTTTTCGACGGGACGTCCACGTTTAACGAACTTCAGATCGAAATAATTAACTCCTGAAATCGCAAAGGGGTCGCAAGACTGTACAGTCCTATCGTAGGCGATCGGATCTAAGGCTTGTTGTTAGGGTCGAGAAAACAATCTCCGGCACTTGAGACATCTTTTCAACGAGGACTTTATCGTTTTGTTGGCCCGCATTATTCACTAGCGCGTGCTTATTGTAGATAGAATATAGCTTTGTACCATATGACCGTTCAGTTCGTGATAGTGTAGGATTAGTAGAAGCGTCACAAAGTGTTGGGACGGCAGGATGATAAGATGTTTAGTCTGGAGCGGTAGAAAGCTGTTCGGTAGTCGTCCCCCGATGCGTAACACTCCATCCACAAAGAGTGGTGTAAGGCATCTCAACGAACTAGACACTTTGCAAAGAGATTTCCTTTTGGCACCGCACCGTCTAAGCGCATCATCAAGGGTATTGTTGTTCCCAAGGAGCTTCATCTCATAGGGAAACGCTTCTAATTGCACCATCCCCACAATTTCCGAAGACGTTTTCCTCATCTCTGCCAATGTCAATTTGCCCTTTGGGGTTGTGTAGGGATTGCTGATAGAAGCGAACAGGCGAGTTCCAGGTAGCACTGTTCCAGTGATTGCTTCTTCGTCTTCTGTGTATGAATTCCTCAAATATCTTTTATAACGAGGAATCCAGGCTACGCTTCTTAGAAGTTTGTTCTACGAGGTTAAATGATTATAGCAAGTAAACATCGTGCAGTTTGCTGAAGTAAGCCAACACGTCCTAAGTCCGAACCGAGGTGTGTCATTACGCAAGTATTTTCTATGACCGGGAGTGATTGTTCTGTTAGGATCACCGGATATTCTGGACCATTTTCCCAACGATCTAGCTTATTTGTTTCGTTCGAAAAGACTCCAGGGGATAGCAGGTGGGCGGGATTCGATGTATAGCCATTCGTCTGGACTAGAGAGATCGTGTATAAGCGACGAGCGATTGAAGAAGAAGGTGGGAAAAAGTTTCGAAGTGTTGCGAATGCTCTAGAACACCACTAGAGAGTCTGTTCAGTAGAAAGTTGTTGAGCTCTTTACGCTCATTTCTGTGAGAGTATCGTTACTGGGGTAATGTATCCCATCGGACCAAAGAAAGACGAGGCATGTTAGAATATATTCCTCCTGGTAAACTGTTCGGTCATGGGACGCACAAAGAAGCGAATTTCGTCGCTTTCAAGGTCCCAACCGACCTCAAGTGCTAGGTGCATTGGGGGATCCTGAGGACCCAGCTCTATAGGTGTGGTGGCCTGTACCGACTCGGGTATGGACGTCGTTAAAAGCGACATTGTTTCTCTTCCATTTGTGTAGCTTTAAGCCCCCAAGAAACCCCATGAACTATGTCCGATCACAGTATTACGACCCATGCTACGGCGTCCGCGGGAACCGACGCGCTCCGCAACCCTGGTCCAGTGGTGCGGGCGAATATATGCGAGCTGGACTACTCAATCGTGGACGGACTCTCGGTATTGGATGCTGGAATGTCCGAACGTTCCTGGGCCCCGGTACCCAAAGTCTGACCGCACGCAGCCTTTACCAGTACACCGTGGATGTCTGCTGTCTGTCCGCAGTTCGACTCCCTGCCTCGGGCACCCGTGAAGTAAAGATCCCGGGAGTCGAATCACACTTTTCCTTGTACCACAGCGGCCCTCGCGACTCCTCTGGTCGACACGATGTTGCGATCGCCCTATCGCAACAAGCGGATCTCGCGCTGCTTGCTTGGGAACCAGTCAACGACCGGATGGCTTACGTGCGACTGAAGGGTCACTTCACGAACATCTCCATCGTCTCTGTGTACGCACCAACTTCGGCTGCTGAACAGCGCGATAAGGAGGCGTTTTACTCGCAGTTGCAAGCGTTAGTTGAAAGACTACCTCGCCGCGATCTGCTGATTGTTGCTGGCGATTGGAATGGTCGAACTGGACCTGGAGACCCGACAACCAGTCACCTTCTTGGCCGCTTTGGGCTTGGCTTCCGATGTGAAAATGGTGAGAGATTGCTGAACTTCGCTGATAGAAACCGACTGCTTGTCACCAACACGTGTTTTCAGCATCGCAAAAAACATCTGCTGACCTGGTATTCAAACGACGGTCATACGGACAGTCAGATTCAATACATACTAGTCAGCTCAAGGTTCCGCAGCTGGGTTCACGATAGCAGATCGATGCGTGGTGCCGAGACTGGTAACGCCCATAGGTCGGTCCATGTCCTCGTCCGTACACGCCTGAAAGTTCATCTCTCATCCGCACCAAAAATGCCACGTCCTAGACGCCTTAATGTCGCAAAAATCCGGCAAGCCAGCACTGCCGAGGCCCTAAGCAGAGAAATCCGGACCTGTTTTACGGCCCGAGCCGACGGAGAAGTCAGTAACCAGCGGTCGTCACTGAAGACATCAGTCTATGGGGCAGCTGAGAAAATCGTTAGATACACCCAGCGACGCCGCAGTGACTGGATCAGCGGAAAAACCCTGCAGTTGTCTGCTCAGACGGCTAGAGCCAGGTCCCGCAACGATGACTACTTCCGCCAACTTCGGAAGATGACGGCAAAATCGGCCAGGGATGACCGGAAACAATATTGGGCTGAAATAGCGACATCCATGGAACAGGCCTCGAACGTTGGTGACACTCGAAAGCTCTACCGTATGATCCGCCAAGTTAGCGGTAAGCCCCGTACACTGAGTGACTCTGTTCGCGATGTGGACGGCGGCTTTATTGCTGACAACTCGGCACTTTGAGCACCATCTCAATTTCGATACCAAACCTACATCGCCCTTGTTCTCCTCCTTAGCGGAGTTTCTTCCCTCTCCTACCTATGC